GAGCACATAAAATTTCCAGATCCGGTCGGCAACAGACCATAGATCCGAACAAATAATATCATATATGGCAAACATATAGCATTTAGCACATAAAAACATTTTAGACATCTTTCCTAAAATATACTAGTGCTCGTGTCTAAAATATGGTAGACACTCATCTCACGATCATCACTTAGCATTCTAAGTTTAAGTCTAGAAATCCTACAAATTTCTAGTTCGCTTAAACTAATGCTCTGATACCAACTGTGACATCTCCAAATTTCACGGCCAAAAAATACCGATTTTGTTTATGCTTTATTTGAAAATCAGAGTACTTTTTTTTAATAAAAATGTTGCGGAATTTGTTCCTAGAAAAACATGATAAATATATTATCAAAGCATTTCCGAAGAAATGTATATTGTTCATATTAAAACTTTAGGATGTCATAGTCAATACTGAAACATAAGCATAAACAGACCTTACATTTATTTACACTAGTGATCTACATCTCCTTTAAATCTCTCAGTGTAAAGTAGTTTCGTATCGACACCTGTGATACAAATAAACTTGAGTGGGTCAGGTTGGAAAACATGGTGAGTACATAGGGTTTTCAACCCACAATAATATAATTATTATATTTAATCATCAAACAATCAACCCAATTACCCATCCCCGTTATCTTCTTTAATCTTAAGGATCTACCCTAAGAATCATCTATCCTTCATTCCTAAGGATTATCCTAAGGAATAGGCACGAAGTCCATCGCTGCCCGAGGTTTATACTACAAGCACTAACGAGCGTCGATCCCCACGTACTGATCCTATACAATGATCTTACAAGATCTAGCTTAAAGGATCGATATGAACAACAAACTGACGAAGCTGCTTCATAAATTCCCTAACAACAAACGGGGATCGATAAAGACATCAAATTAGGGGAATGGAATAAGTTTCACCACAAAACCTTCGTTCGTAAAAGAAAGAACAACAAGACAATTAAGTCAGGGGTAGTTATCTAGATAACAATGCCTAGCAGTGGTACGAATATCGTGAGGTATTTTACCCCGAGACACACCCTATCCAGCATCGAACTTTGCCTAGCAGTGGTCTGAATATCGTGAGGTATTTTACCCCCAGACTCACCCTATCCGGCATCGAACTTTGCCTAGCAGTGGTCTGACATCGTGACCGGAAACGCTAACACATGAAGCTCGTCTGATCACTTTATAAAAAGAAACGAAGACTCCAAAGCTCTTCAAAATAAGAAGTATAGGTAAAATACTAATAAAGTACTCCCGTACGCTCCCGTACCCCGATACGTAATAGTGTCAAAAAGAAGAACTTTGTACATGATACTTATCGGATGAACACATAGTTCAAAAACACCTAATGAACACTTAGTTCAAAAATACCTAATGAACACTTAGTTCAAAAACACCTAATGAACACTTAGTTCAAAAATACCTACAGGTTACGAGTCTGCTAACGTTCCACTGGACTATCTAGAATAGTCTGTGGCCGTTGTCTATACTCTGCTAGATGACTAAATCATCTTAAACATCGATACCTCTCATCAATTTTTATTTCATCACACATCATCTAATTCATCTACCCATGTTTTACCCCAACATATTTGTAGATATAAAATACATATACAGTTTAAATCATTTAAAACATGTATAATAGTGTTCATCTAACATAGATAACAAGTATACAGATAATATGCACACATAGCACGTAATTTATATAAAATACTTCATATCTATGTGTAAGATAAAAATAATATGCACTCACCTTATTAGCGTGAGTTGACAGAATCTAACTAGAAACGGTCGGCGGTTCGTAATCGTCGGGCTCGGGACGCGGAACGGCTTCAGAAAACGAGAGAGAAAGAAAGTAGAAGGTGTAAGGAATGAAAGGGTCTCGATCGCTATTTATAGGCTGTTCTGGACCCATTCACGTCGTGAACATGATAGGTTCACGTCGTGAACTTCCATGAGTCATCCTGTAGCTTTAACACGTGTTTTCTAGCCCCGATTAGTGTCCCTGACACGTTTCACGTCGTGAACTTCATATTCACATCGTGACTTAAGGCGGCTAGGGTTTCTGCCACGTGTCATGCCCTCAGACAGCTACATCTTCGGAAGGTCATAACTTTTGCATACGAACTCCGTTTTCGACGTTCTTTATATCCACGCGTAGGTGGAGACGTACTCTACAACTTTCTTTTAGATCACTAGGGCTAAAAAGTACTCTATCATAAACTCGCTTTTTATGATTCCCGGTGTCGTGTCGGTTTTGTCGGAAAACTTCGACAGGTCATAACTTCTTCGTTATAACTCGGATTTCGGCGTTCTTTATATCTACGGAAACCTTGTGACATATACTAAAACTTAGTTAAGATTATTTATTCTAAATAATCATATATCAAAAAGTCATTTTTTTACGCTTATCGTCTCTAAATTGACTAGCCCGAATCTGCGGGCGTTACACTATTCCTTGGTGAGTGGTCCGAACACAATATCAAAAATCTCGCTAGGATTCTCCACTGTTTTCATGTATCCGCAGGCCTTAGGGTTAACTTCAACAAGTCTAGGGTATTTGGGGTGAGGGTAAGCACGCAGGAAGTTACAAGATATGCCAGACCTTTAGGATGCGAACCGGCCAAACTACCATTCAATTATCTGGGGGTCTCGGTTGGGGCAAACATGAAGCGTATTACAACCTGAAAACCGGTAATTGAAAGATTTCAAAATAAGCTTTCAAATTGGAAGTCTAAAACACTCTCATTTGGAGGTCGTTTAACCCTGGTGCAATCGGTTCTTGGGAACATGCCGACCTACTTCCTGTCACTATTCGTGGCGCCTCAGGGGTGATCGACAAACTAGAATGTATCCGAAAGAAGTTTTATGGGGGAGTTCGGAGGGTACTAGAAAGATCCATTGGGCCTCTTGGGATATGGTCACTGCATCCAAAGAAGCTGGCGGGCTTGGAATAGGCACAATTAATTCCATTAATGTGTCTCTTATAGTGAAGTGGTGGTGGAGGCTAAGAGTTGGTCCTTCAACAACTTGGGCAACTGCAATCATAGGTTTACATGATCTTAATTCGAAACCGGATAGTTACTATGCTAATAATAAACTACCTGGAGTCTGGAAGAACATAGCAGGGTAAGCAAAGTATTGTTGAAAAAAGAAATTGCAATTGATCGGATATTGAAGAAACAACCAAGTGGATCTGGAAACTCGTGGACCTGCGGTCTCGCTTCTGATGGGAGTTTTACTGTCAAAGCTCTTCGAAAAGTCTGGGAATCCTGCTCTACTATCTCTATCGGGAGCTTTGAATGGACTGCTGATATCCCCATTAAGGTAGTGTGTTTTGTATGGAAAGCGCGTATGGGTAAGATTCCTACAGCTTTGGCTCTATCCAAGCGAGGAGTAAATCTGGAAAATATTCTCTGCAGTCTTTGTGGGGACATACAGGAATGCGCGGATCATGCTCTGGTTCGCTGTCAATATGCCAGAACTGTGTGGGACTGGACATTCAAATGGTGTGGGATTCCAACACCCACTCTCCTATCGGTGTGTGACGTACTAGACTACGCAACCAAATGGTTCGATTGCCCACTAAGGAGGAAATTGCTACTCGGGATCTGCTATGGATCCCTCTGGAATATTTGGAAAGCACAAAATAACAGAGTTTTTAAAAAGCAGCGGTTGCCCTCCACCAAATGTGTAGATATCATACAGTCCACTACGTTTCTTTGGATCAAAAATAGGAGGAAAAACTCAAGCTTGGAGTGGCAAGATTGGTGCAGGAGTCCATTCATTTGTCTGTAGTTCTTGTTATTTGGTGGCTTGTTATCTGTTTTTTTGTTTTATGTTTTGATTTTTCCTCTGTAAACTCGCATTGCGGCCTCTAGTCTCTTGCTAGAGGTTTGCCTATTTATATATCTATTTGTCGGTTCAAAAAAAAAATCTTCATACCTATTTGAAATGACGACAATTGTTCAAAAATATAATTTCTCTTTTTTATTTTATGGCTTTTAATTGTTTATCAATCCTGATGCACAAAAAATACCAATAAATGTACTTTCAATTATTTATGGGTATTTGGGGAAAAACTCAACATCTAATCTAAATGAAGAAAAGAAACTTACCACGTATATGAATATTTTGGGAAATTGTCAGAAAAGTCCCAATATTTTCAGGAAAGTTACACTTTAGTCCCAAGATTTTTTTTTGAACATAAAAGTCCCGATTTTTTGTAAAAACATGATAATATGTCATTTCTTGTTAAAAGAAAAAAAAAGATTTTTTTGTAAACTTGAGCCAAAATGAAATAATCGGGACTTTTATGTTCAAAAAAAAAAATCTTGGGACTAAAATATAACTTTCCTGAAAATATTATGATTTTTCTGACAATTTCCCTGAATATTTTTATGAAAAATTAAATATTCTCTTACATTTTGTTCCTACTTATCTTCATACTCTTATAAATTAATGACATGTAGAATCCACTAATTCTCTTTTTTAATCTTCTTTCTTGATTTTGACATTTGTCTTAATCTAATGAATATGAAAGGTTAGTAGGAACAAAAGATACAAGGATATTTGATTTTTTTTTTATAGACCAATCTTGTAACGTACGTACACACATGACAAAATAATAGATAGACGATTGACCTACGCAAGTCTAATTTTAGCTTGAAAACAAACCATACAAATGAATAAAAAATTGATTGATTTGTTCGAGTTTTATTATATGTCAAAGGACATTATAAAATTACAAAAAAAATTATGATGTGTTTTGAGTTTTACAGAAGTAGTAATAATAAATTAAATAAATAAAACTAAGCAATTAATTATACCATGAACACTATTGAAATATTGGTCTAAAAACTAAAAAATGTAAGAATAGAATCATACAAACAAGAAAAAGCCAACGAAACAAAAACCATGCCTATTGCCAACTGCTCCCAATAAACCCCATACGATCCAAAAGCTGTAGATTCGATTTTATTACCTAATAATATTGACTTTTTTTTAAAGATTTATTATAAGAAAGATTTTGGCGACATTTAATGCGCAATTTAATTGGACAAAGAAAAAAAAAAGGATTAAATGAAACAAATAAAAATTTATTTTTGTTGATTTGTTTGTTTTGTAAATCTTACTTTTATTTGTTTTTATTAGAATATTGCTTTTCGAAAGAACAATTTATGTAATTTAAATACAAAATAATTTGTATTGCTATGATTAATAAACATTTTCAAAATACAATGTTCTAAAAATAAAAATATTATATTAGTAACTGTTACATTTAGTTTAAAAAAGTAATAATTTTTTTTCTGTTTATTAATATATTTTTTATAATTAATCAGACAATCTTAAGAATGATGTGTTTTTTAAAAATGTTTATTTTCAGAACTTTTGAGTATTTATGTGCCATTTAAGAATGGTATTTGAAGTTTGAACACATGAGTATCTATAATAGGATAGTTTTTTATTGAATTTTTTCATAAAAAAGTTTTAAATGGAAAAGCTTAAAAATAAAAATAAAAAATAAAATAAAATAAAAACTTAATAGAAGAGCTTTTTCAAATTGATTTTTATGAATTGTTTAAATAAATTGTAAATTTTCAGTTCTTTGAAAACACATATTATTGAAAAAATTCATGTTAAGAGTTTCTAAAATTTTCATATTTCAAGCTCTTGAAAAAATGCTTTTATTATGTAACTATAAGACCGTCTCAAATAAGAGGTTTTTAGAAAAATGAAAAATATTAATAATCAATTCAATCATTATATTTTATTAAATGTTTTTCTTTGTTAATAATTAAAATGTTTCATTTTCATTGAACATCAACCACTATAGTTTCATTTTTGGTAGTACTCAAATCAAAATGACATTTTCATTATACATTAACCACTATAGTATAAAATATTGATAAAACTAAGTTTTTTTCGTGGTTAACTATGTACTTAATCACAGACCACAATCTACAATCAGCGGTGAAAACAAACACATAACCAAGAACCGTTGAAAGTAACATTAAACATTAAGGTCCGAATTCCGAAACCATCAACAATCACTATAAAAAACTTGTATGTATTCATTTAAATACTAATATTTTTACACATCTATTTAACCAGTCTCGTATCCAAAATATGTATGCTCAAAACATCATTTTGTTATATAACTTTAATACAATCATGTATTATCGCAAAGAAGACATAAATTGTAAATAAGTTATAAACGGAATCCGTATTTCAAAAACCGACGTATATTTATATCTGAAAATTTTCGAAATATGGATTTTATTTGCAACTTATTTAAAATTTATATTTTCATGGCAAAAGCGATACATTATTATATTGCAAAACGATGAAATAACTTGAATATATATATATATATATATATATATATATATATATATATATATATATATATATATATATATATATATATATATATATATATATATATAATAAACTTTTATAATTCCCCTTTAAAAAAAATCAATTAAATTGGATGTAAAAACAAATGAATAAAAAAATATTTTTAGTTTAATAATAGTTTATTTTATACGAGATTGATTAGAAGTAGAGTATAGGATCAATTTCCAGTTTTACCCTTTCCATTCCATGCATTGTGATGTGGGTCGGGTCTTCTGCGTACCGGCTTCGATCGGGCACGGCGTCTGAACCGGCGGCACCATGCAGTTGTACTGTAAACAAACTGAACTGCTCAGTGGAATCGCCGCCATCGGATTGATCGGCACCCCCGTCAAAAAGTTATGCTGCAGGTACAACAACTGTACGTTTCCGGCCATTAACCGGTCCATCAAAGTCGTCGGAACAGAACCAGTGAACCGGTTGTTGTTGAGGTAAAGATTCTGAACTGTTGAGAACAGTGGAGACACTTGTCCGTACAACATGTTGTGGCTAAGATCAACGGTTGGGATTGCAACCTCATTGAATGGCTGGACCGGACCGGAAAAAAGGTTTCTCTCGAGTTGGAGGTTGGTTATCGGGAAACTGAAAACGCAACTGGGGATTTGACCGGTGAACCGGTTGAGGCTTAAATCTAGGAAGTTCAACCGGTTTAGTTGGGGTAATAAAAGGTCAACCGGACCGGAGAAACTGTTCCAGGAGAGAGAAAGGTATTCTAACGAAGAAGGGAGTGAACCGGGAGGTATCGAACCGGAGAGGTTGTTGTGTTTAAGGTCTAACCGGGTTAGAGTCTGAGAAACAAACGAAGGTATTGAACCGGACAGATGGTTGTGACAGAGAACGACATTAGCTAATGCTGGTAAACTTCCGATGGCCCAAGGAACACTTCCGGTGAGCTGATTGTAACTGAGATCAAGTGTTCGTAGCCCTTGAAGTTCACCCAAAGTCGCCGGTATTTCACCGGAGATAAAGTTCCGACTAATGCCTAAAAACCGGAGCTTCTTCAACTCTGACAATGTTGCCGGCAGTTTACCCATGACACGACCGGGAACAACGGTAAATTCAGCGAGATTCGTCAACTTCCCGATAGCCGGATCAAGACGGCCGGAGAGACCTGGGGCACCGGCGCGTGGATCTCCGAGGTTTAAAGCAACAACTCTGTCACCGTCGCAGAAAACGCCGGCAAAGTTGCAAGGATCGGATGTGAAATCCCATGAAGAAAAGAAATTAGAACCAGGCATGTCTTCAAGTGATTTTCTAATCGATTGTAAGGCTAAAAAATCAACAGGTTCCAAAATTGCAAAAGAAAATCGAATTTCATGAACAATAATCAACAAGTTAATCATAACCAACACCAACATTGTGTTCTTCATGATAAAAAATAAATGAATACAAAAAAAAATCACCTAGAAATAAACTAAGATCAACAGCCAACAGCACAGCCCAGATAAAAACAAAAAGGTTGCAATCAAAAATACAAACTCAGAAAAGAAAAACAACACACACCGAAAACAAACACAGAAAAAAACAACAAAGTTCTAAATTAAGAACACAAACCCAAAAATAGAATGAGATTAGGAACACAATATTAGAATCACAAAACTGGGCATAAGAAAGAATATACAATCGATTAGATCAAACCAGCAAAATTAAAAGAGGAAGAGGGAAGATGATACTCGAAGTGTACTTGTTTGAGAATATGGAAGAGAGCCTAATGGCGATTTCTATAGAGTGAGTAAGATGATGGTAGTGAAAGAAGTGATGATACCTGAAAAGCTGGTTTATGTGTGTATGTGTGTCTGCTCTACGGTGGAAATCATTAATTAATTTATTAATTAAAAATAATTTTTTGTTTATATTTGGGTAGGCTTGGGAAACTACCAACGGTTGTCCGAGCCTACGTGGGAGGTTCGGCTGTCAGGTGAGATGCCGTTTGTGTTTTTTTTTTTTGCCTCGTCATATTGGTTGAAGCTGTCAGTCACACACGTTGTAATCATCCGTATTCCATTGTATTTTACCACTTGTTTTAGATTTTACTTTTTACTTAATCAAACATATACATACACGTTAATCGTATATAAACAATTTTTTTATAAATAGATTCAGCAGATAAAATCTTATCCACCAAGAAAATATTACGTTTTTTTTTTTGGTAAAAAGTTCTAATCCTACTTCAGTTGTTTCTCTTTGGTAATAATTATTTAATAACTTAATATTAAAACCTTTAGTACATATCTACATGTTTATTAATTTTAATTGTTAAGAGATATAATAAGTCAAACATTTTCAATATCCATCTACTATAATAAATGTCAGTAACTTTTTATAATAGAATATTTAAAATACTTACTAGAATACGAAACATTTCGCATATTTAATCAATATTAAGACAAATAACAATTTGACAAGTTATACACATATGTATATACAAGTGAGTAGCATCGTTAATTATTGCATTTAGTTTTAGTCTTAAAAATTTATAATTGTACATTATGGTTTTAGTTTTTTCATACACACAATAAAGTTAAGAGAAAACAACAAATTTGGTCAATGTCTTTACCGATTTTTTTGGTTCCAATCGATATGGTTTCAAAATTACAAATTTTATCATTTTCAATAGGTAGTTATGGATTTAATCTCTTTATACCAAACATGTTTTCTCCACTGCATTCTCGTTCGAGCTATGGAACACACTCGGTGAATGCAAATACACCATTGAAGACGGCGATGCACACCATCATTGGGCTAATTGTGTTCGTTTTAGCCATAACACTTTGTAGACGACAATTGTCTCAGCCGCTTGGGACAATTTTGAAGATATGGAATTTGACCAACTCCAAGCTTAAATCAACTTTAGTCAGACACAAATGCTATGTAACACCGTCACAGTGACGACTTATGGTTATGTATATACTAGTGGTAGAAAAGATGTGATGATTTTGCTTTGGGATTTGGATGATGCCACTATCACAATTCATGCTCTTTGCTTCAACTCTAGTGGGTACCGGTTGTTTTCTGCTGTGACAACCGTCAATTTTGATCAACAAAAGTCAACCAGATCAACTCAACTCGTATTAGAATTTTAAGAGAAATGTGATATTCCCTAATGATACTAATGTACTATTGATGAGTTATAATGCAAAGCACCTCTCTTGTTGCCAATTATTGAATATAAACCCTAATTAGGGTTAGTAACTTAAAAATTCGATAATTCAATTATATATTATTTAGGTATAAATAATATTCATAACACAATGTAGTTGAGTTCATAAACTTTATGCTACATGGAAAATTCATAACAAGGGTTACATATTTAGATTTTTGGTGAATTCGTCACCAAATACGACAAATTCTTTACCCGACTTAAACACTCAAACTTTAACGAAAAGAATTAGGAATCATCATAACTTTCGTGTAGTGTGTTATTCTTTTTGATGATAATGAATTTTATAATAATTTGAACTTAGATGATTCAAATTAAGTAATTATACATCATGTTTACCACACTTTTTATAAAAATCACCAACTCTTATAAAAATTAAAGTAAATTACACGGATGGTCCCTATGGTTTGGGATAATTTACACGTTTGGTCCCTAACTTATTTTTTTAACTTGGAAGATCCCTACAGTTTGTTTTTGTTGCGTGTTTGGTCCATGTCTTACCTAAAAAGACTATTTTGCCCCTTGATTCTTTAATTTATTTAAATAATGTAGGGTAACTAAGGTAAGGTAAGGTAAGGTGAGGTGGAAATGGGTTTGGGGTGTGTTTATTTAAATAAATTAAAAAATCAAGGGCAAAATAGTCTTTTTAGGTAAGACAGGGACTAAGCACGCAACAAAAACAAACAGTAGGAACCTTCCGAGTTAAAAAAATAAATTAGGGACCAAACATGCAAATTACCCCAAACCAAAGGGACCATTCGTGTAATTTACTCTAAAAATTACCCATTTTTATACAAATACACTACAAAGACAATATTTGTCTTATATGCTGATTACACATTTTATAAAGAATTGCTATTTAAAAAAAAATCAACTTGAATTTTTTATTCTAAAAGTCACATCCTACCCCCCCCCCCTTCATTCCATCTTCTCTTCAAGAACAAGTCATTCTCTCAAGATTAATCTCCATAAGTTGGTTCTTGATCTTTTGGTAAGTTTTTCCTTACTAATCTAGTGATTCTATGCATATATATACTAGTTTTGTTACAATTACATACATTAATATGTGTTAATATCCATAGGATATTTCAATCTTCAAGTGTTCTTAGCTTGAAATCTTTCATCTTCTCCTCTTTATCCACTAAGAAACACACTCAAGGTGAGTTCATACCCCTCATTTTCGTTTTTTATCCAAGTTTTAGCGGGGGGAGGGGGGGATATAAGTAAACTTGTATAATTATACAAGTTGTTATACATGCTTTATCTTCATGTTGTGTAAAAATGTTAGCTACATGAAATAATGTTATTACCTAGTATTATGAACATTATGTGTGGTATGTTGTTTAAAATATAATTCTATGAAAAATGAGTATAAACATGCTATATGTTCTTGAGAAAAAGGTCATAAAAACAAAACTATAAAAGCTATGTTTTTTTTAAGAACATAATATGACTTTTCTAGCAAAAATGGTTATAATCACGTTATTACACCATTTTTGTGGGATATAAATCAAAATATGTTATTTTGGACATATGTTATGAAACTAGTTATAAATACCAAGGATTTGATTTTACAAAAAGGAAACCCAAAAATCTATCATTCTAAGTAAAAATTGAGGTATTCTAGCAAAAATGGTCATAACCAGGTTATGGTACCATTTTTGTGAGATTTGACCTAAAATATGTTGTTTCAAACATATAAGATTAGCTTGACTTAAACTACACAAAAAGGTGAACATAAATTTTACAAAGTTTATAATTCAATATTTACCGTTTGGAGACGTACAAATGCCAAAAACTAGAAAACTGACTTTATCAGACTAATAGTTAATATATTTGTGTTAGATGTATAATATATGTTATTTATGAACATCTAAATATGTTAACTTATATATATATATATATATATATATATATATATATATATATATATATATATATATATATGGGTACAACGAAACATTTATAATAAACTATAATATGTATAGTTTATGGGTCATTAGCACTATTATAACATTTTGGGACAATGCCAATAAATATATAAAAGTATATAATTATTATACACCACATTACTACTATGGAAAAGTGATATTTACACTTACAAGGGTTTTCGTTATACAAAACGTAAACTTGTTGAAACAATTATGTGAAACAAAGTCTTCACTGTACCTACCAGAGTACACACTAAAGTCCTGAATTATAACCAGAATCTCGGTAAGAGAGCGTGATACTTGTGTATAGATCTATACGGGACTGACAATCTCGCACCTAAGTTGCTAGCTACAGCTAGACCGGCAGGTCTGGGGTGACAAATATCTAACATTCTTACGCATGAAGAACGTCGCAACAGGCAAACTTCGGTTTTAGCATGGTTGTAATAACTCACATGGGGAATCAACAATACATTTAGTTTACGGGGTAACATGCGTTCAGATGGTTTTCTATAAGAATAAAACTACGTAATACTATTTAAAGTATAGAAATACTTATACATTTTTGGTCTTAAGTTTTTAAGACTACAACTCATTTTAAGAAAATAATGGATTTTTTGGGAACAAACACTATCATTTTACAAGGAAAGAGTTACAGATTTTTCACATACAAAACTCTTATGAACTCACCAACTTAAATGTTGACACTTTTCAAAACTACTTGTATTATCAGGAATCCGCTAAACAGGTATTCCCAAGGCCTTTGAGGATGGGACACTACGGCGTCATACTATTCATTCTGTCATCATAATGTAATTGGTTTTGAAACATACAATACTTGGAAACAATGTAACATTTTCAATTATATTTATGATGGTTGTGTTTGCTTTGATCACTATTGTACCTTATGTTGTGATATTGTTCATGAAGTCATCCACCCCCAGACGTTTTCGCCATCCTGGTTTGGGGGTGTGACAGATTGGTATGAGAGCATTGTTTATAGTGAACTAAGTATATCAAACCATGTAAGATATACAACTATAAATACAATGGGACTAAAACTCTCTGACTAAAACATTTCGTACAAGTATACTTTTAAAATATGATGATATTTTTAATAAAGTATATGTACATACCTACATACTATAACGGTGTCCTAATAAGGACAATAAAAAAGTAATAAGATAAGTTGAACACTATGAATAGGCCTAGGTAGTTATGTAATCAGATCTTGGAAAATAGAGTCTGATCAACTGTATTTGTCTGA